AACTCTTACCCTAGGAGTGGAAAGTAAAATGCGGCGTCTTGTAGCAGGTAAAAATCTACAAACACAAAGGTCAGTGGTAAAGGCCATCCACAAACGCCAGTAGCAAAAAAATCAAGAAGGATCAACGACTGGAAAAGTGACACAAGACACGGGTACACAAGCTGCTTCCACGATATATCATTTCAACTTTCACATACTTCAAGCACCAAAAGAATGAAACGAAACGATTATAGATTTCTGTTAGATTGGATTGTCATAAAGTGCACTGGAAAATCATTGTCCTCGTACACTAGATAGATTACGAAAAGCTTGCCAGGATACTTGATATGCTTTGGATATAACAGCTATATGATGGAGCCTTTTGCTATAGAAATTACGCTGCAGGACTGTTGTCCAGATGCACGGACGTCAGATAGAGTATGACCAGGTGTGGCGACGCGAACTTTAATAATAGGTTAGGCTTCAGGTTCGTTTTATTATAAGGTACTCATCTTCTGTATTACAGAATCAATGGGAAGTATATCTGTATTAGCTTAAACACATAAATTACTTTTAATTGTTAAGCTCGAGTCGGCTACGTACAATTTCTGAGTGATCGATACAACAAAATTCTGATAGAATCCTGAATCTCTTTCGCAATTTGCTTAGCTTAATCTATTAAAAACAAATAATTTATAAAAATAAAAACTCGGTCTTTTTTGTGTAAATAAGTGTCTCTATAAATCTACTATGGTCGCGTGGATAAAAATACAACAACTTATCAATCGTTTGCAAGAATGCGTTCTGATCGGTTCTTTAAAATACTTTTGGAGGTGTGTCTTTGATTTAAGCTAACATTGTAATGGTTACAAAGTGTCTTGTGCAGCGTTTTTATCTTCTTCTTCATTCAACCTTAATCTCATCCAGATATTTTGCATCAGCCAGATATTTTTACGTTCGAGTAACAGACTGTGATAGCCAGCACGTTTGATGAAGGGATTTGAACCCACAGATTGCGAGTCGAACGCCCTGACAGCCAGGCCATAAACTGAAGCTAAACATAACGTTATGAATACTGATATTGAAATCCTTGTACTTAAAGTGTTGATAACATAATTTAAAATTTGCATGTCCAGATTTTAGGAATATTGCACTACACCTTATTAAACATTTCAGACATTAAAATTTCACTGAAATTTAGTGGCTATCAAATTTTGCTTATTTGTTCTTAAGCAAATAAGAGGGTTTCCTGTGCTTTATTCATCCGAATTTTAGCATTAGAAGTCCTCACGCAGAGCTAATGGAGGAGCGGGGGGGGGGCAGATATTAAAATAGTAATTGACTAAAGCTTTTACGTCAGAATGAGTTAATCATAATAAGTTGTTTTGCATAATTCGATTATGGATTTCGATGTTAGGTTAAATATTTACAAAATAAGAAGTCAAAATACACCAATCTTCAGCACTAGCGAAAAAGTTGTCGTAAGAGAAAACAGTCACAGCAACAAAACGTATGAGCATGATAGATTCTTAACTTTACCTAATTCCAACATTTATTTATCAAAAAGAAAGTAACATCTTCTCATCTTCCTTAACAAACATTTGTTTCCGAAATTGAGGTAGAGAGATTCATCAAAGATGTACTACTTTCTTCATAAAACTTGTTAAAGTTTCGTAGCGACAAAAGCTGCGCACATTCCATCTCGTGAGTTTCGTCAATTTGTTTCCATTTGAAGCATTTAAAATCCTAAGTATCTGAAAAATGTAAAGTATTCTCTGTGATTGTTGCTTAGGTATCGTCAAATAATAGCTCTCTGTGCAAGCAAAAGAAGATAAAGGAATCAAAGCAGTAAAATCTTTGAGTATAAACTCTTTAAAAAAAACTGAAACGAATAGTTTGCATTTTTTATTTGCTGAGAAAATTGCTGGTGATTTTTAGAAAATATTTTGGTTATGTGATAAAATGAACACATTAGTACTTCATTAAACGATAGAGTAACTAAAATATTACGAACTAAAATTACGAGTATTTTTCCATATAACAGTTCTTTGTTTTTAGCAGACATATCTTTATCAAATAGATAAATACAATTAAAAAAGAAATATATTTTTTAAAATTTAAACAATGTTTATTTGTTTATTTATGATTTTACACAAGTGTCCAGGAAGATCTTTAATTTTTTATCTAATGTTAAAATAAATAAAGAGCACCTTTTACTTAATTGCTAGGGTTTATGTGATCATAAAAACATATTCAAATAAACCTAGGCCTAATGTCAATGTTAAACGTAAAAGCACTCCTTCTCCTAGGTGGCTCAGCGTTAAGTCTGAAGGCTTATAATGCTGAAAACTGTGTTTCATTACTAAATCCCTAATTTAGCAGTGTAAGACTAGAAGGAAGGCAGCTAGTCATCACCACCCACCGCCAACTCTTGGGTTACTCTTTTACCAACGAATAGTGGGATTGACCGTAACCTTATAACGCCCCCACGGCTGAAAGGGCGAGCATGTTTGGTGTGACGGGGATTCTAACCTGCGATCCACAGATTGCGAGTCGAGCACCATAACCACCTGGCCATGCCGGGCCCTGTAAAGAATTAAGTTGTATTAAATTTCTAGTAATTTAATTATTTTATTTAAACATCTACGTGTTAACAGTTTTCTTGGACGCAAATTTTCAATTCTGTGCTTCACAGTTTTGATATTTGAGTAGTTGATGAATATATTTAGATAATATAATATCTATAATAAAGGAAATTCTAATAATTTTTTTTAAAGTTATAAATTTTAAAATGTTTTGCTGTCGTTTAGTTTGGCTGCAAAGATTGGGGAAAATATATTTCATATGCAGAGTTCCAAAAAAAGAAATGAATATTATAAAACATGATACTGTGAAATGTAGAAATTATGAAAATAAAATTTTCCAATTTATTAATCTATTAAATGCACAGTTGGATTGTATATAATATGAAAAACACTATAAAATTTAACAGAGAATTACTGTTAACAGAACTTAAAACAGTAAAATGGTGTATTTTAACGCAAAACGGTTAAAGTGCTCCTAAAAGTAATCAGTAAAATATCGTTTTTTAAAAGAGGAAAACAGTAAAAATGTTGATTATAAGGTGCAAAAGTAGAAACATTATTATTTTTTGTTTCATTCGTACTCAGTATTTTTGGCATTAGAGACGACGCAACTTAATAAATATTTGATAAATAACCAAATCCTAATAACTGAGTAACACTGTTTTGTTCATCTATGGGCTGTATAATTAAATTACATTAGAAATGTTCATTTCAACAGAATATTTAACTGATAATATAGTAAAATATCATGTAGCTTAAGAAATGATATCTGCTTTGCATCATTGTTTGCAGTAACGTTTGGAAATAGAAATGGGTTTCCATATTTAGACTAACTGATAATCTTCTAATAATATAATGTCTTATCGGCGTATTTTTACTTTTTAATAACTTTTGCATCGTTGCACCTCATAATACATTTTTGGTTTGTTGCACCTCATGATACTTTTTGTAGAAAATCTCAGTTTACATTTAGCAGCATTGAATCTATTTAACTATCTTTATACGTAGGAACGAGGGAAAATAGTTTTAATTAGTTATACGTATTTCCAGGTCCCTTTTTTAAAGTTTTGCTCTAAGTAAGTAGCTTACTCTGATTAGCAATTAATATTAATTATTAACTGACATCTTAAAACTGTTTCTGTTCACGCTGGTTAGATCATCATAAACGATTGGTGTTGAAACGTCGACTAAAACGACAATCGCAGTTTTACGAGTGAATTATGTTGTATTAAAATAATAGAGGTTTTGGACATACAACTGTATTTTTATGATTTTTCGTTTACAAGTTTTAAATTGTTATTTGTGTTTTAGTTTTAAAAATTCAACCTTGCTGAATAATCTTTCTAATTGCTGTATATAAAATGTTTCGAAATTTTTATTTATACTGTTAATTGATACGCTGTATTTCCTCGTGCTCTAAGTTTTCGTATATAAAGACCAACATTTTCTTAATACCGTTTGCTTTAAGATTTACAATTAGTTGATTTCAAACAGATTATTGAGGTGTATTCATTCGTATAAAGCTTTAAAATATGCAAATACAATGAATATTTTAAAAACTAACATAGTCAAGCTCCTTTTATTTTCACTAACTAATTAATATTACTTTGAATAACTCAATTTGACATACTTGTTCAACTTATCTATCTATCTATACTCTATTTAGACTAATATGATTTAATTTCTATTTTTCTTTGCTAATCCCATGTACAAATAACGAGTCTGAATTGCTGTCTTCCAATCTTTCATTAGTGTTGAAGCTCTAAAAGGCAATTTATTTTCTTCTTAGGTCGGGTCTTTACTCCTGTAAGATCCATCGGATTTAATGTCAGTAGAGAAAGAAACAATTACGTCTAGAGATTTAAGTCTTGCTGAGAATTTGACCATCCCCTCGTCTTAATATTTTGTTAGAGAATCTTCGGTGTTCTACTTTTCGAGGGGTGATTGTAGTTGTGCCGTGACAGAGCCTTTAACACCCTAAGAGCCTGATTGTAGTTGTGCCATGACAGAGCCTTTAACACCCTAAGAACTTAGTCTTTCGAAGTTTTATGAGCATTAGTTTATTTACTAAATTTTGACTAAAATTACTTTGAGCTCATTAATGCAAAGATAATCTCCTTTGCAAATTACATTATGTTTCATTATACGTTTGGCAATCAGTTCTGTAGAATAAGTATCGTAAAATTCATTTTGATAAAAGAACATTTTAATTTAAAAATTCGATATTTGTGTATATACTTGCATGATATTAACTTACTCTAATCCTGCCTAAAAGAATTTCAAGTGCCGCGGATATTGAGGATTCCCTCTTGTTTCATCATATTGCACTGTTGTTTAATTTAATTTTACAGAAACATCACCCAACCTGCCTATTTATATGAATATACTCGTGAAAGCACGCTATAAAAAAATTACACTTTATCCTTATCACTCTAGGAGAACTTAGCCTTTATGAAGCTGTATCAGGTGGACAGGCTCGTCTTCCCTGCAACGTCACTGCTCCTTCAGTAGATGATTCAGTTTCTCTGGTGCTGTGGTATCGGAGTGACATCAACGCTCCTATTTTCAGCGTCGATTGCAGGCATGGTCCTTTGGAGAACTCTCAGCACTTTCCTAGCGATTACTTGGGAGATCGCGGGACATTTGATCTGAGTACTCAACCTGCCCTGTTCATTATTGACCCAGTTTTACCAGAGGACGAGGAAGAATACCGGTGCCGAATAGATTATCGTCGAGCACGAACCTTCAATGTCAGAATGAGACTACAGATAATCAGTAAGTAGATACAAATGTTCCGTAAACTTTTAGAAGCAATCGCTGTGGTACTCAACGAAATGGAAGTTTGAGTTGAAATGATCTAGTATACGTCACAATAAATTTAAAAAAATAATTGGATGATGAAATCCAATCTCATTAGGCCACTTAGTGTTGAAAAAGACCTGTAAGATGTGAACGATACACTTTATAGACGTATTGTGTGATAACAAAAATCATATACTTTATGAGATATAAAAAAAATCTAACTTTATTTTGGAATTGCTAAATGGCATAATATAATAAAAAAAACTTTGCTTGTTTCATATATTCGCGCAAAGCTCATTAGGGCTATCTCAAATTTTGAACTGATAGACTAGAGAGAGAGGTAGCTAGTCAACAGAATAGACTAGAAAGAGGGTAGCTAGTCAACAGCATAAACTAGAAAGAGGGCAGCTAGTCAACAGTACTCATCATATACTCTTGGACTACTCTAATCGAATAGTTGGAAGTCGCAGTTACTCTTATTAGAAGTCCGCGGGATGCGAATCATGGACTTTCGGATTTTAATTCTAACATAAAAACTAATAGACCACGTCCGGTCTTAGAAAAATCTAAAAGTTCTTTAAGACTTGTTTAAACATATAAAATGGTTAACAAGTAAAATATTATATAAATATATACAGGTAAATATGTTTTGGGTCAAATTGCATTGCGATCAGAACTGAAAACAAAGTTGTTGTTTTTATGTTTTAAAGGATAAACAAGATCATGCAAACAGCGTGATTCAAGTTGTCGTAGGTTTAAAAAGTTATTCAAATTTTACTAGTAAACTGGAAGATATATAACGCTAAAATTCGGGATTATATCCCTGCAGTTGGGACAACACATTGCAGGTAGTAAATTGTGCAGATTTGCACTTAAACATGTACACAAACCAGTTACACTTCAAATTTATAGCTATTAATTGGCTAACTATATACTTTATTATTCGATGGCAAACATGAAATTTATCTGCGGAAACACAAAATAACACAAGGATGCAAAGTTTTGAAAACATGTACTCCATTTCTTTTTATGTTCAAACTATGTACATGTAATGTTTGTTAGTGATACTTACTTTTTTATTTCTCATCTCATTTCTTCAGTTGTTTTTATCCTTATCATTTTTGCAATTTTCACCTATTTCTACTGTACAATTATTATTTTAAACATATTATTTAGTTTCCGTTCTATTTTCTAGAACATACGTATTACTCTACTTATTTTTATAACTGATTGTTGAAACACATTCCTGTGATGCCTTTGAATATGCTATAAAATAAAACATTTCTTCGTCCAATCAATATTGGATCTATATCTATTCTGTTTTTACTTAGCTGTATAAATCTAGCTTCTTTTTTTTTTTAAGAATTTTTCGAAAGGTAGGCTATTATTCTACAACTCTATAAGGGCGTAGAAAGTATTTGTGTGTTAAGCGTATTTCTTTATTTAAATAGACAGTTAAAGAATCGTGCACGTCTGAAAGAGATTGAGGAAGACATTCGATTTGAAACAAAAACGCTCAATTAATCGATGAGACAAGATACCCGAGCTAAGAACTGTTTCAATATGTGAACTCCTCTTTAAACAACTAGCATTATCATTGAATATCACGGATTTTCTTTATTTCATATTATATTGCATTCTTGTTATATATTTACTACTCGTGTTTTTGTTATAAAACAAAAAAGCATGCTTCTCAGCAAAACCTTGTGTTAACAAAAAATACCTTTGTTTCTTCTAGTAAAGATTTCTTTAAAATTTTTTTTTACACAAACAAATATATATTCATATTTAACGAGTATTTTTGATGGTGGTTAATTTTTCATTATTTTTTATAGAGTTAATGAATTCTATTCGCTGTTGTAGTTTGTAAACGATGTTTCAAATTGCTATTGCATTTTAATATGAAGCTCTGCAGTAGTAGATTGGATACGATGTTTCATATTGTTAGAACAATTTAATATGAAACTCTGCAGTAGTAATTTGTAAACAATGTTTCATATTGTTAGAACAAATCAATATGAAACGCTACAGTAGTAATTTGTAAACAATGTTTCATATTGTTAGAACAATTTAATATGAAACGCTACAGTAGTAATTTGTAAACAATGTTTCATATTGTTAGAACAATTTAATATGAAACTCTGCAGTAGTAATTTGTAAACAATGTTTCATATTGTTAGAACAATTTAATATGAAACGCTACAGTAGTAATTTGTAAACAATGTTTCATATTGTTAGAACAATTTAATATGAAACCCTCCAGTAGTAATTTGTAAAAAATGTTTCATATTGTTAGAACAATATAATATGAAACCCTGCCGTAGTGGATTGGAAACGATGTTTTAAATTGCTAGCGCAGTTTAAAAGTTGAAACTCTGCAGCAGTAGTTTGGAGACGGCGTTCTATATTATTACTGCAGTTTAAGATGAAGCCTTACAGTAGGTGTTTGGAGATTATGTCTCAAATTATTAGTCCAATTTAATATAAAATTCTGCAATGGTAGTAGTTTGGAGACGAAGTTTTAAGTTTTCGGTGCAGTTTAAGATGAAGCCTTGCAGTAGTAGTTCGAAACTACTCTCCAAGCAATCGAGCATCATACTAGGAAAACGAAGGTCGTTCCATGAAAAAGGAGATTTATGTTATATGTTTTATAGTTATATGAAAATAATCAGTATTTTACATTAATTTACATAGTAAATGAAAAACATATTTTACCCTGTATTTTTCAAATTGAATCTTCAATAAAATAATGTATATAAAATGAAAAACAAAACCGAAAATTCGAGGAAATAAGTAGCTAAAATTTGTATGGGTTCTTCTATATTTTAAATAATAAATATTTCTCCTTCAAGTGTTCTTTTATGACCTTTTAGTTTGTGAGCTATACAGCCTCTATATTAAATACGTTGCCAAAAATAACGAATCAATGAAACGTTAAATGCATGTATATAAAGTAACAATATCGTTTGCTTATTTGTTTGTTATGAGTTTCGCGCAAAGCTACACGAGGGTTATCTGCGTTAGTCGTCCCTAATTTAGCAGTGTAAGACTAGAGGGAAGGCAGCTAGTCATCACCGCCCACCGCAAACTCTTGGGCTACTCTTTTACCAACGAATAGTGGGATTGACCGTAACTTTATAACACCCTCACGGCTGAAAGGGCGAGCATGTTTGGTGTGACAGGGATTCGAATCCGCGATCTGCAGATTGCGAGTCGAGCGCCCTAACCACCTGGCCCAGAAAAAAGAATTATTCACTAGTAAAGCGTGTCTGTAATTATGATCAATAGGATCTTTTCAGGTTTCGTTTAATTTAGATTCGTCCTTTAAACCAAATACTTGGATATAAAGTGTAACTGTTTTTACAATCAATTGGTACAATAAGATAATGACGTGTGGATATTTATATTTTCAATTCATGTAATAAACTTGTTTTCAATAAGTATTTCAAAAATAATTGCGTCTGCTGTCGTGATGAAAGTTAGTAACTACACATGGACTTGTAAAGCTGCTTAATCACAACCTCACATTTCGTGTGGCTGCAGAAATTTTGAGGTATCGGTTTTTCATTTTGAAGCTGATTCTTCTGAAATCTAATTTGTGGTAATACTCTCCAATTTGAAATATAACTTTTAACTATTACAAATTTGACATTTACATAAAAACATTTTCAATTACACGTTGTTAAAAGACATAAGCAGTTTTTGAAAATCTACTCAAAATCAGTACGTTTGTTTAAAAAAATAGAGTTTCTCGCATTTTCATTTATGAAATTCTGTATTTAAAGTGTCCATTTTTTACAGCTCATCCTACTATAGAAAACAAATAAAACTTATACTTTCAATGATAAAGAAGGGATATGATACTAAATAAACATTAAATTCAAGTTTGTATTTTTAGGAATGTTATATTGAAGTGTTTGAATTGAGAATCTGTTTTGTTTCGACCTTACGAGATTTAATTGGTAAACACACACACACACACACTCAAAACAAGTACATTTAAGGCAAACTTCTTAAAAATCAACCATTATATAATCAATTGCTTTGCATTTGAAACAAAAAGTGAATACTTCTAAAGCTTTAGTTACAATTCTAACAATTTAGGTGCTCGATGCCTCAAAAGTAAAGTAACGTATCTATAACAATTATATAACACAGGCCTGCGAATTTAAGCTTCATAAAAGATGCTTTTGGTTTTAATAACGGATTTTCCATAATTCAGCCACGCAGATTTCGAAAATAATATCCATTTTTTTCTATCACGTAAGGATTTTTTACAAATCGGGAAGAAAAACTCTTTCTATGATCAAATTATTATTTCGTGCCCCCCAGTAGCACAGCGGTATGTCTGCGGACTTACAACGCTAGAATCCGGGTTTCGATACCCGTGGTGGGCAGAGCACAGATAGCCCATTGTGTAGCTTTGTGCTTAATTACAAATAAACAATAAACAATTATTTCGTTTACCACAATGAACTTTTTTATTATTATTACGTATATTAACAAAAAAAAAAAGTTGAAGAAATGGGAAGAACATTGATGTCAAACGAATATGCATCCTCATTCATCCTGATTTTTTGTGTGAAATCTATGTCTTATAATCTCAAAACTACGTGTTGTGGTGTTTCTTTTATTTATTGCGTTATGAGGTTTTGTGATAAATCTGAACGTGGAGAAAAATGGGTATCATTTTCAAATTCAGCGTACAGGAATTACTGGAGAACATGTAAATATTTTAAGGCAATAAAGCCATCGCATGCCTGTGTAATTTACACACAGTCGTGGGCAACATTTTGAATTCATGATTTTCTTCCGTATTAAGAATATCGTTTTAAATTGATAGTTTATTCAAACTATGCGTCTTTCCGGTAGAATTATTTCACATTTCATCAAAATGCACATAAACTGATTACATCAAGTTTAGGTGTAAAACGATAAAGTCGTCAAAATTAGCATTATCAACACACGTATCAAATCATTTAGATAATAACTGGTAATGAGTTTAATAAGGTCTATGAATGTCTGCTAGTTCTCATTGAACTTTCTAAGGAATAAGGAATGGAGTAGATTAGAAGTTAAATAATTTAAGTTTAATATAATTAGATAAAATTATTAGTTTTTACTGCTTTTAAGTAAGAGGGAGTAAAATGATTTTGTTTCTAAAGTGTATGTAACTTATAAAAAAATAATCCAGTGGCGAAAACAAAAGGAAAGAGACATTTAAATTTGTTCATATTTTCATACAGTATGGTGGAGAGGGCGCTCGATTCGTAATCTGCAGGATTGTGGGCTTGAATCTTGTCATCAAACACTCTCTCCCAAGAATTGATGGCAATTAAGCTTTAGCAACAATGACTCATTTCTTTCTTTTACTATATTTTTCTGAAATCACTTTGGACGGAAATATTGTAACAAAAACCATAAAATATTCTCTTGACACGGATTGGTACCTATAAACTTTGTCAGTATTTAATATTTTGGGTAATTTTTTTATAGTTAATACCTCGAATGTAACTTGTAATTTAATTCGTTTATGATACTATATACTTTTTTATTGTTTTTCTTTGGAGAGCAAAATCTGTTTACGACAAGCAAGCAAAATTTTTAGAAACAATATGGCTGGTTGGAGGTTAAGATTTAAAATAATTCAGCAGACTGTTACAAGTATAACATAAAAGTATATTATACAATTTATACAGTTTGATTTGTTAGGGATATGGGAAAGAAGTTTGATTTGTATTGTGCAAACTATGCTGATGCACATTTTAATTTCTAAAACCCCTGCAAGTTCATATTGTTTGAACATTAAATGCAATATATTTCATTAATTTAGTTTCTAAATAGTTACAGAAATGGAATACTTGGCTTTTGCTCAAACTTGGAGGATTATCATAAAACATCAGAATTTAAAACACGTATATATATATATGTATATGTGTGTGTGTGTGTGTCTGTGTATATATATACACAGACACACACACAATATTTAGGGTTCCTGGGTTTCTCAGTGGTAAGTCTGAAGGATTTTCGCGCTAAAAATCGAGTTTTGATACTGAGTGGGCGGAGTAAAGATAGCCCCTTGTGTAGCTTTGCGCTTAACAACAAATAAACAACATTGGGTGTCGCCAAAGAAGAACATGTTGTGTCAGAAGCACGTTATTGTGTTTATTAACCTTAATATTAAGTCTGTAACTATACTAATAAATCTTCCTTAATAAAAACTAAGTGAGTCACAAAATAGGAAACTCGATAACCCAAGTGATTTTATTAGAAGGTACTCTTTGCTTCTTCAGGGTAGAAAATAAATATACTTTGCAGTCTTTTCTAAGAGTGATAAACTGGAAAAGTAGGTACTATTAGTAGATAAAACAATCAAGGACATACGCACTTCCTAAAACAGTGTTCTCATTAAACATTTTTTAAACCTCTTCATATCCCTGTAACACCAAACATGCTCGCCCTTTCAGCCGTGGGGGCGTTATAATGTGACGGTCAATCTCACTATTCGTTGGTAAAAGAGTAGCCCAAAAGTTGGCGGTGAGTGGTGATGACTAGCTGCCTTCCCTCTGGTCCTACACTGCTAAATTAGGGACGGCTAGCGCAGATAGCCCTCGTGTAGCTTTGCGCGAAATTCAAACAAACCAAATCCTTTTGTCAATTCATATGCGTCTAGAACCTGTATCGTCTTTGCTCTATCATTTGTTTTAAGCTTTTCAATATAAACAATAAACGTCTTCATAGGTCCGGGGCACTTTATGAAACTCGTTATTTACTTTCAGGGTTTTTTATTTTCTAATAAATTTTGTAACATGTAAGAACCTGTAACATATTCTTTAACAATGAAAAATAAATCCGCTTTTTTGTAAATAATTGAACATTTATTTAAAAAAATAAAACAAATAATGGTATTTATCAGCAAACTAAAACAAAAGAAGGCAACCGTCCTTATCTTGTCTTTCTCAAGTAATTTTTGAAGGTTTTTTTTCTTGTAGGTTTAATATTTTCACCAAACTAAATATATAGAAGTCGAGTGTGTGTTATTTGTTTTTTTTTTGTTTCTTACGGTAAACTAACGGCTAAATTTCCGAAAATGTTATGCGCGGGTTTATTCAAATTACTACGTAAAAAGGTTAAGGTTTGTTTGTTTTGAATTTCACGCAAAGCTACACGAGAGCTATCTGCGCTAGCCATCACTAATTTAGTAGTGTAAGACTAGAGGGAAGGTAGCTAGTCATCACCACCCACCGCTAACTCTTGGGCTACTCTTTTACCAACGAATAGTGGGATTGACCGTCACAATATATAACGCCTTCACGGTTGAAAGGGCGAGCATGTTTGGTGTGACGGGGATTCGAACCCGCGACCCGCAGATTGCGAGTCGAGCGCCCTAACTACCTGGCCTTAGAAGTTGAATATGATATATTACAACGATTTTGGAGCCTCACTACACCATTACAGTCCATTTCACCACGTCTGGTCGTTCTCTACCTTACGACCGTGCTTCTTGACAATAGTCATGCTGCATAGTTTCTATTGTAAAAAGTTTCGTTTAGGGCTGTCATGTTTAAAGTACACCCCTCCTCCCAGCTATTGCCAATAATTCATTCAGTATATAAGGAAGACAGTTTCCTAGCCCCCGTTTCAGCAGTTCGATCACACAGAAATGCACAGACGTTTTGTCTAGAGTCCAGAGACTTGACTGGTATGTCTTCGTATGGAATAGTATGAATACCTATTTTATTCTCCATCCACTTGAGGTGGGCAACAGTTGAACTGATATATCGTTGAATTAACGTGTGTACACGTGACTTGCGTTGCTTTTACAAACGGAGATCTTTCTTGTTTATATTCTTTACTGGTGTCTGGGGCGGCTTTTAACACTGGTCTTTGTGTTCGTAGGTTTTTATTTGTTATGTGACACTGTATTTTACTGACTAGAACTGAGGTACGACTTGTTTGCAGGTTTCTTTCCGGATTGTTTTGGTACCCCAAGTTGATACACGTTCCTTTGTTTTTCCAATGCCATTAATTTTCTAATTTGAACTCATCTTTATGATATGGAATGAATATTTGCCTTCGTTTGTTTGAAGTTAAGCACAAAGCTACACAATGGGCTATCTGTGCTCTGCTCACCACATGTATCGAAATCTAGTTTCTAGCGTTGTATGTTCACAGACATACCGTTGTGCCACTGGGGGGGGGGGATTTTGCTTCGGAAAGGGCGGTTCCACCGCACTAGCTACGAACGCCAATGTAGTTCCGATATATGCCGTTTCGCCGAGACTTATATTTGCTGTGTTTTTCACGTGACTTGATTATTTGCATTTTCAAAATCGTTTAAGTGTAACGTACTCAAACCACTCGCTCTATATATACTATAATTTCGAGAGACATTAAAATTGTATTTTTTTCCTGTCTACTCTTACTATTAATATTTGACTATTAATAAGGGACTCTAGTACATCATTTTTTGTTTGTAGTTTAAATAGATCACTTTCAAAGACAGGGAAAAAAAAACATTGCACACAAATTGTATTTTTTTCCTGTCTACTCTTACTATTAATATCTGACTATTAATAAGTGACTCCAGTACATCATTTTTTGTTTGTAGTTTAAATAGATCACGTTCAAAGACAGGAAAAAAAAAACATTACACACAGTAGATATTACTTGCCATCTCAAAACATTTTCTATTAGAGCTTAAGCATTGCTTATCATTAATTTTGCGAGAATGCAAAACTGCGCAATAGGCTAGCTGCCAACTGCAGCGATCGAATCTTAAATTTTAAACTTATAAGCTCTCAAGTCTGCCGCTGATCTGCTTATCGTTAGATAAATAAGTCGAAATAGAACTGGAACTCGTTGGCGATTAAAACATTTAGTTTTAATTTTATTATTAACGAATTCGATTAGAGCTTTAATTATGATGTTTCGTATGTATTATTGTTTAGTAAATTGTTTAACAAAAGTTAATTCTGCTGTTTTACTAATTTCGTCCTATAGCATATATGGTATAAAATACATAGTTTGCTTAGAAACACTGCGTGGTTCTTGTTTTTATTCGTCTTTTAATACTAACATTTTCCTTTGATGATTTTCTTAAGCTCTTATTATTTCATATTTTCAGCGCCTCCTACTAGAATTGTCATCACTGACCAAAATAGCCAGCGGTTAAGGAATGTCATAGGGCCGTACAATGAAGGTTCGAGGGTTGTTTTGCGATGTATAGCGGAAGGAGGTAAAAGATATACGGTATACTTAATAATTCGACAGGATTAAAATGACAAAGCCATTTAAGTAATGAGAGCGGTGAAATGGATAATTTTGAAGTTACGCAAAGTTCATCTGCACGTATTAGTATAAATTGCCATTAGGAATGAGTTACAGATGAAATAAAGGGTGCTGACAGATAATTAGTAAATGAATTACTTTTTAATGAGTATGAGACTCTATAATAAAAAGAATATCATGTGATAGCGGTCGAGGCAGTGCAAAAGTACTGTTAGTTACAGAAGCTATTTTATATCTATATAATATGGTTTTTTGATACCAATAAACCTATCGAGTGCAGGAAAAATATGAACATAAGTGACAACGCGTTCGAAGTTGTGGAACTATAAAAACAGCTAATAGTTTAGACAGAGTTCGTTTTGTTGAATAATCGTATTGTAAACAGCTTAGACAGTTGAGTTAGAGTGTAACCATAGTCTAAACAATTTAAACAGTTGAGTCATTGTTCGTTTCGTGGAATAACCATATTTTGAACAACTTAATCAATTGAATCAGTTTTTGTTTTGTGGAATAAACATTTAAAAAGTAAATAAATAGTTGAGTTAGAATTTTTTTGTGGAGTAACACAACTTAAGAAATAAACAAGTGAGTTAAAGTTTGTTTGTTTTGTTGAATAACCCCCATTTAAAGGAAATAAGTAGTTGAGTCAGGGTCTTTTAAGGAATAACCGCAAGTAAACAACTTAAAAGTTGAATCAAAGTTTGTTTTTTGGAGACTATACTTTAAACAATTGAACCAGTACCTACTTTAATCAATGAAAACAATTCAGTTGTTTTTGTTTGTTATTAAGCACAAAACTACATAATGAGCTATCTAGACTTTGCCAACCGCGGATACTGAAACCCAGTTTTTTTGTGTTTTGAGCACTTAGACCTTCCGGTGAGGTACTGGGGGTAATTTAGTAATTGAACTGTAATTTTTTTTAATTGTTTAAAAATTACTTATTAAAGCAAGTTGCTTAAATACTTTGATTGATTATGTTTAGTTAACGCAAGCCTAGTTATTGATAGCCCACGGTTTTTGTCATAACAATATTTTATTCATAACTATACCGTAAACACAAATCATTTTTATAAATAGTTAAATTTTCGAGTTAAAATTAGCTCAATATCAGATTCAAACCTCTTAACGATAAATAAAAATTAAAGTTAACATTAGAATATCTTTGTCAGAATTAGAAGAACAAAAAATATTGAACGTCGAAATGATTTTCTGCAGGAAAACCTCCTCCAGCAGTCACCTGGTGGCGGAATTCCATGTTAATAGACAACCGTTACACCGAAATAGGTAACAACAAAGTTGAAAACCAACTTTTTCTGGATATTTCTCGTCAAGATTTCAAAATGTCACTGATGTGCCAAGCTTCGAACACAAATCTCACTTCTCCAAACAACGTTACAGTAAACGTCGACATGAATTGTGGGTATTACATCAAAATAATTTATTCTAGTTATCCATTTTTCGATACTGATTTGTTATTTTAACTATCTATTCGTATGCTACTGAAATTACATATGTTAAATACTAATCTAATAAACTTATAAATAGTTTTTCAGAAATAGAACCACAAAGCTACTGGCAATTCTGCTGTAGTTGTTTAGTTACGTGAGCTTGGTTAGTGCTACGTCATCTATTCACTTGCAAAATATTAAGACATGGTTAAACCACCTCTGCTAATAAAATTCATATGATAATTAAACACAACCTATTACTCCGTACAGAAGAAATTTTATTTTATTTAAGCAAGCATTTCCCCATTATGACTTTATCGGGGCCAAGAGAACATATACTAAGCCTATTAAATGATTTTTTTATGTATCCCGTCAATTCTGATGATTCCGTAATAGTGAAACGATGACTTAGATAAAATACTTGTTCTTATATCTGGATCAATATATTGTGTTTTACTGTTACTAAATAGAAAAAGAAAAGAAAACTCTCTGGTTTCTACTACAACATTCAAGTTTCAAAATCATGTATACAATAAAAGGAAGTTGATTTCAATATTCTTGTAGCCCCGAAACCTTATTCAGGTTCTTAGTCATCTATTTCTTTGTTAACGGACATATTTAAAGGAAGTTATTCGAAATAAATTATGGAATTGAATAGAAAGACAATAACTTTGTGTTGTTCCAAAACATTACTCCGTTCATTAATTATAAGAATGAAATTAAGGTAAGAACAAGTTGTTGAAAAAACATCATATCTAATAGTGATTTAAATGTTTAATTAATACTGCTATAGACATCTTGTGTTTTTCAATGTCACGATGTTTTAGATATATGAATAATTTTAGGTTAATTATAATTTGTACAGATTATTTGGCAAGTTCAATATTTATTAGTTGGTTCTTGAGTAAAAACAAATATGTTGAAGTTTAATTTTTTTTCATAATTTGATCCATCAATTCTTCTCAAACATCAATTATAAGGAATTGTATCTAAAATCAAACAGTTTTCTTATCAGGGTTTATTAAGCAATAACCACGATTAAACAACTTAAAAGTTGAGTCAAAATTTGTTTTTTGGAGACTATACTTTAAACAATTGAACCAGTACCTACTTTAATCAATGAAGACAATTCGGTTGTTTTTGTTTGTTATTAAGCACAAATCGGGAAGAAAGAAAAACTCTTAATTAGATCAAATTATTATTTCTTTTACCACAATGAACATTGTTTTATTATGTTTATCTATTAAATTTTCTTTCCGACTTGGCCACTGTAAGAATTATATTTAAAACTGATAAAGACAGTTTGACTTTAAGTTGAATGCTGTTGAAAAGAAGAATCAGATAAATGTCATAAAATTTGCTGTTGCAGTAATTGAGACACGTATGTAAAACCTTCGAATGATTTTAAGATAATCAATTTAACGAGTTTCTTTCCTGTTAAGAGATTTCCATAGACGCTTGTGCTTAAGAATATTTTATTCCTTTTAGATATGAAATCACTAAGAATCTAACGACTCGGGAAACAGATTCATAATAAATCTTTAAGATATATCATACGAAAACTTTATCGGATAACAAACTAATGTTGTTACGCTGACAGAAATATCTGAACATAGAAATACATGGTTTAATTTGCTGTAAGAGAAAACTAATTATTTTGTCGTCGTTTCGGCCAGGTGAGTTGCGTTCCTGTGGAGGTTTTTTTTGACCGATACATTTACCATATAAATCTCTTTACCTTATATCCCTCGAGTAAAGTCGTTTAGTTGGAGCGTTGACTACATAATTCTTTTTCATTCAGTCTTTGAATTTCGTATGGCCGAAAAGTTAGCTAAATATTTTTTTTCCTTACACATTCCGACAAAAGTCATTTGTCCTCAACATTGACCACATATTTTTTTTTCACTTTACATTTCCTGATCCTCCATGAAAAGCTTTGACCACGTAATTGTTTTCCCTTGGGGTGATTTTAACAACTTTGGCAATTGTTGGAGCTAGCTTCCTGCAGAAGTTTCTGGACATTTTTAACCAATCTTATCGTTAAGAATATTTATACTTTAACGTTTATTTAATAGCTTAAAATATTTTGTAGAAGCATTTCTTTAAAAAAACAAATATATATATATATATGACAAACCATTGTTATTGTTTATATCCACTATTCACGCTCATGCGCACTGACTGGTAGGCACAACATTCATGGTGGTTTGTTATGATTCCATTGTCAGCCATAATGTCCAGAATTTAATTATCCGCGTATGTCAAATCACTAGAATCAGAAGTCAAAGAGCATTATATTGAAAAGCTTAAAACAATAGAGCTAAGACGATAAAGGTTCCAGACGCATATGAATTGAATAAAGGATTTGGTATGTTTGAATTTCGCGCAGAGCAACACGAGGGCTATCTGCGCTAGCCGTCCCTAATTCAGCAGTGTAAGACTAGAGGGAAGGCAGCTAGTCATCACCACCCACTGCCAACTCTTGGGCTACTCTTTTACCAACGAATAATGTGATTGACTGTCACATTATAACGCCCC